TAGTTTGCTTCCGTGAAAGAGACGTAAAAGAACAACCAGAAATCACAGGTGGAAATCGAAAGCTAAGAATGAAAGTCCTTGGTCACTTCATATGCCCTGGCTCCCCTGTAAAAAAAAAAAAACAGGCCTATGATTAAAAGTAAACAGTAAACATTTGAACTGGCAAAGCTTCCACTACAAAGGAGGTACATTATTAACTCATACTCTATTACAACTATAAGGACGTAGCGGACATTTGCATCATGCTGTCCCCGTGGTTTTATGCACCCCGCAAAATTTAGCAAAATTTGATCATTTTTTGCATAATTTCTGATTATTTTCCTTTATCATTCTTTGTTAAAATTAACATTTAATTTCCCATTTGTGGGCTCAGTTTGCATAATTTCAGAATTTTTCTTGCATAAAACGACGGGGACAGATCATGTATGCATGTCCGATCAGCAGCGGACCAAAGGCAATGTTGCGGTATTTTTTTTTAAAAACAACATTATACACAAATCAGAAACACGAATTTGCATATTATAGTATGCACGTTTCTGCCGGCCTTTGTAAGTTTCAATATAATGGAAACCACAACTGAAAAAACTGTATGAATTATGATTCTTTCTTTAAAGTCCCAAAACAGCGCGTCTTCGTGGTTTTGTCTAATGACCAGACAGGGTCCTCGGTGAGTTAAGTAAAGTCTGCTGTTTTAGTTTACGTTTTAGTAAGAGCTTTACGGTTTTTGCAATACAATTACGTCAAATAAGTGACAAAGATTAGAGGAGTTGCTAAAGAGTGACATACGAAGAAAAGATGGAGGAGAGAAAAGGACGACAGATGTTTAATGGATGTGATAGAAAGAGCAAACTACCACAACACCAGAGAACCTGCCAACCACCCGCAACATCTGACTAGGCAAAGCTTCAACAGCCAGGAGCAATCTATTAAAGAAAGCTTGCTGAAGATAAGATCTCGACATCAAGACCGAGGTGAACGTATACGATGCATGCGTGAGTAAACACACACACACACACACACACACACACACACACACACACACACACACACACACACACACACACACACATACTGCCAATACGCTTACGAGACCTTTTTTTCTCTTTACTTTAAGAGTTTAACGCCCACATCGGCACAGTTTAGATCATATTTAGAAGGCGGGTTTCGACCCAGAATGCAGCGTCCCAGCAAAAAGACTTGACTAGAGATACTCTATAAAAATTCTCTTCACATAGGAATCGAACTCAGGTCTTCTGCATGCGGCGGTGGGGCGCCTAACGGCTACACTACAGACACCGGCAAGTGACACACGTTCGGCGTATTCACATCAGGGGGGAACAGCTCAAGAGCTTTCACGTGACATGCCTTCGAAAGTCTCGAGGAAGAAAACGGCAAGACAAGGTTAGCCCTATTTATCCAGTCCACACGGCCAATCGGATTCGTTTGATTCAGTCCGGACCTGTCGGACGTTTATTTTCATTTATTCATTTATTTTTAAGTAAAAGTATTACGGGCATTAGCAACACAATGAAGTCATACAAGTGCCCAAAATTAGAGGTGTTGTGTTACAAGAGAGTAACATTAATAGTAACAAACACAAAAAAATGAGGGGAGATAGGGACGATAGTAGTTTGGTAAGAAAGAAGGAGCAAATCAAACAAGGGCACCAACCAACCACCGACCTATTTTTTTTTTCCATGCAGGAGCAAAAGCTACCGGTCTGGTACAATACGACCGATTCGACTCGCAACAGAGAAAAACAAAGGTGTTTCATTTTCAAGAACATATTCTATTGCATTGTGACAAAATGGTAGCTTTTTTTCCCTCACTTATGAAAGAAAATCTAGCCGGTCCCGACAATATCAGGTGAATCCGACTGGCAGTGCGCACTGGTTATTACTGATACAGACTGGGGGATTGTTTTCTAAATGCAGTAAGAGCTTTCCGGCACTTGCAACACAATTTAGGCCATACAAGCGCCGAAAAGTAGAGGTGTTACTAGAGAGCAACATACAAAGAAAAGAGACAAGACATATGAGGACGATAAGGAGCACACCGCACCAGAGTAACCCCAACAACCCATTGGAGTAGTACGTAGAAATATAATATGAAGAGTGTACACTTCTTACGCAAAGCAGACTCCTATGAAAAGAACACCTTCGAGCACAGAAGAAGGGAGAATGGGGTAATGATCAGCTGTGAAGATCGAGAGGGTGAAAGTATGAAAGGATTAGTCGATTGCAAAATGATATACGCCCTCACCGACTCAATTTATACTTTAGAGGGGGGCGATATCGACCATGCCTGCCAAGGCCAACCTAAGTTAATTAAGTGGGACATATAGTATCCGAGCAAACATTCGGATGTACTCCGTGACATAACTTCGCCAAACGGGAATCGAACCCATGTCTTCTGAGTGCCTAAAATCAGGGGTGATTTTACCAGAGATGATCTTTCGTAGAAAAGAAGAGGAGAGAATAAGGACAATAGACGTTAGGAAAG